GGCCGTCGTGGCCCCGATTCTGGAAAGGAGCTAAAGGTCGCGATGAGGCGGCCCGCGGTTGGCGGCGGTCCCCGCTGACCTCCCAGGTTCAGTCACGGAGACTTAAACGTTAATGCGGAGCAGAAGGCGATGCCGACTTCTCAAAATGGGATTAGGGAGCCCTCGGCATTTAGGACATGGGCGAGGTGTCTGGCGCTGCAAATTAGCGAAGGCTTTTAATAGAGCCCCGGCCTGGGAAACCTTTCGTCGGAGATTTAGAGTAATCCCGTTTGGGGCTAGTGGTACGTGCGGCTACCAAAACACAGGGAAGGGAAGATGGGCGCAATGCTGCCGTGTTACTCAAACGAGTGCAATGATGGTTTTCATTTCAGTGTGATCCGACGTGCTTTCCTCACGCTATAATACTCGATTAAAAAAAAAAAAAAGAAAAAAAAAAGAAAATTAATGTCAGCCCAACAGCCAGAGGTGATGGGGGAAATACTTTTCCCAAGCAAGGCATCTGCATGGCACGGGAACACGGAAGAGATACACGCTGCTTGTTGTGTGCTGCGCTTCCTCACCGTGTTTCCAGATGGTATCGGGCTTCTTCATCTCCCTTGTTCTAGGAATCCCGTGGAAAGGCTACACTTTGCTTGCTGTTGTCATGGTTTCTCTGCTCTTTGCAGCCTTCTTCTGTTTCTTATTGGAACGCTTCTTCAATGACTTCTGGGAAGGTGGTTGGACGTAGGGTTCAGGCTCATCACCAACATGCCTAGTGTGTGTTAAAGCTGCGTGTTGCACCTGCATTAATCTTTAAAATGTTTTAGTTAGCATGTGCTAGCTGGTTTATCTTGATAACACATTTAAATTTTATATAAGCAAGACCTAAACTCTCTGTTTTTCCTTACATCTTCCTTTTTTTTTTTTTTTTAAACCTCTTCTGTATGTGTTTTCTTGTGCATCACTTAATATCACATATCTGTGCTTATATTGCTCCCGGGTCCTCCAGTCTTCCCGACACTTCCTACTTTGAGCGCGTTTCTGCGATATAGGCTCTTGCTCAGCCTTAATGGAGTTTTTCCAAAGATTCTGGGCGTTGGAGGAATTAACTGTCGGCAGCACAAAACAAACGCGATTCCAGTCAGGAGGCTTTCAGTCTGTTTTTGTGGAAATTGCTGGTGTTTTGCACTGGGAAGCTCCATATTCGCGATGCAGAGACCGCTGCTAGTTCACCATGAGGAACAGTGAAGAGCTGGCCATAGGCTCGCTGCTTGTCATTACGTTCGAACCATTTCAGTTCTCTTTGCCTTATTGCTCGCTGCGGTGTCCTCAGCTGGTGATTCATGGGCGTTCGGAGCCAGTTTCGGCTCGAGCCTCTTCAAAGCAAAGTTATTCTTGTGCTCACGTATCCTGCTTGATCGCAGGAAGATTAGTAAGACCCGTTGCCCTGCTGCTATGGCTTGGGAGCAGTATAGGGTAGCACAGGCCCTGGAGCTGGCTGTCAGCAATAATTTTACTCTTGAGATAGAAACCGAAGTTGCCTTAAATAGAAGTACGGGTTTGGTAGATAGAGAGGATACTTTAGTGTGCAGTACTTGAAATTCCAAGTTAAAAAACACCTAAAAATGGATGAGAATGTCCTTGAGGTAGGAAACAAAGATGATATCTGGGACAGGAAAACAACCTTGAAGTTGAATCCTGCTCGTTAGCCAGAAACAGAGAATAATTCTCAGATCTTCTTTTCAGTTTTATCTCCACACTCTATTAGTATTCTGTTATCTTATTTTCTTAGAAAAACAGTTAGGCTTTGATTAAAGAAAGATATTCAGAATTAAAATATTATCCATGGTTGGCCTTCTTGGGAACATTTATGTTATGTGACATTTGAATCCCTTGCAAGGGGCAGGATTCGTGGTAGTTGTTTTCCTGCCTTTTTTTCTCAAGCAGTCTCTGTTGGAAGGCTGGTTAGAGCAGCAGGCGCTCTGCGGGTTAACAGTCTCGCCTGCAAAACTATTTATTTCATTACACATGTAAAAAATGCGTAGCTGTAGGTTGGTCTATAGGGTTGGCCAATGCACAGAGACAAACGGTGGCCCTTGGTTTCCCTCTCTGTAAACAATAGCCTCCTGTGTGGGCGCATAAAGGAGTCCCCAGAGAATGGTGTCTCTGGGCAGGGAACATTGGGGCTTTGTTGGGGCCGCGGGGAGCGATGTGATCGCTCATGCCTGTCAGGAGAGCTCGGCCCGATGCAGGGGAAGATGCAGCTGGGTCACAGAATTTGCTTCGGAGACACTTCTAAAGAGCTGCCTTCATAGCGCCTTGCAAACCGACTCATTTTGCCTGACCTGTAGTAAGCATGAATATGCAAGAAGTGAAGGGTTTGCTGTGGTCACGTTAGCATGAATCATTGTACATGCTGCCGGACGTTGAAATGCCACGGAGACGTGGGTTGCGTGGAAATTCCCAAGA